ACCATGAGTGGAAAAACGATGACTGACATTCCTGCCTCGGTCAGGCAAGATAACCCACCACCTGTTTCAACACTTCCAGCCAAAGATGAGGAAGAAAGAGAAAAAGGAGATTGAGGTGCTCGTTCCTAAGCCACAACCAGTGGTGAAGGAGTATGTTCCTCAGCTTCCTTTCCCTACACGATTACACAAAGACCGCCGGGAGACTGAGTTTGCCAAATTTATGGCAATGCTGAAGCAGGTAAACATCATTATGCCTTTCGTGGAGGCATTGTTGAAAATTCCCAAGTATGCTAAATTCATGAAAGATCTCCTCACCTGCAAGAGAAAGCTTGGGGAGATGTGGACTGTGATGCTCAACGAGGAGTGTTCTGCCATCCTGCAGAACAAGCTGCTAGAGAAGCAAAAAAAAACCCAGGGAGTTTAACTATCCCATGCATGATAGGTAGCTTGCATGTAGGAAAGTCCTTGGCGGATTTGGCCGTACCATTAATGTCATACCTTATAAACTGTTTAAAAAGCTAGGCCTAGGTGAACCCAGTAATACTAGGATGAGTATTCAGTTAGCTGATAGATCTATTGTACATCATAGGGGTATTGCAGAGGTCTTGATAGTCGCAGTAGGACCATACTCATATCCTGTTGATTTTTTTTATTCTTGATATTAATGAGGATGTGGATGTGCCTTTAATTTTGGGTTGACCTTTTCTCGCCATCGCCAAGGCACTTATCGATGTGAATGATGGTAAACTGATTTTGAGAGCCGGGGGTGAACAAATCACCTTCTATGTTTCTGATAAGCCGAAACTCCCCAGCTCCATGATGATTTTGATTACTATGATGTGGTTGCCTATTTTGAGAATGTACTCGCCATCACGAGTGAGGGTACTAACGATTTTCTCAAGTGTTATCTTTTGCTAGCTGAACATGCATCACATGAATTGCAGCTGGAGGAGAAGGGGCTGATTGCGCCGCAACTGCTCTTCTCTCGTCACTCTTGTGGGGTCGAACCTGCGAACCGACCCCGCCCCCAGTGTTTCTTCTAGAGTGATGGCCTTCTGGACTTTAGACTCCAACTCTGACGTCGAGACCACGGGTCTCTTGGCTAGTGTGCGCCTTAACTCGCTGTTGTTGGTGACGTCCATCTAGTGTTGCGTGGCAATTTCAGGTGTGAAGTCGCGCACGACCATCGCCACGAGTGACCTGCGCGTGTAAAATGTCCTCGGGTTTTCCCCTTCCTTTTGTTTGATGTCTACGAGCACTTTAGAGTGAAGTGGTCGTCTTTTTTCTGACGCAAACTTGGCGGTGAATAGGAGGATGAACTTTTCGAACGTTTTAATGATGCCACTTGGCAACCGATTGACCAGTCGAGACAGATACCCGAAAACATGGACGGAAAGGAGGACACTCCGTACGGTTGGTCTTAGGTAGAGCTAGAGTTCGGCTCGTTTATTAACGAGTCGAGTCGAGTCGAGTTCGAGTTAGCTTGCTAAAATCTTGGCTTGTATTTGATATATTCATTTGGTATGTCATGTATGATTCATGTGATTAATGTCAAGAAGAAGAAAATAATAATAATAATAATAATAATAATAATTAAGTGTTCAATATTAACTATTATCATCTTATACTTTGTGGTATCATATTATTTAGTTAATACATTTTAACTACTAAGAAATTATGTTACTTCATAGTAATGAAGCAATCTAAGATACATAATTACTTTTTAAAATTAAATAAGAATTATTTTCTCACATAATCTAAATGTTAACATTCATATAGGGCGAGATATATAATTTAACAATCTTACATATATTATCAAAATCAAACTCATTAGATTGATTCACTCATAAGTCGGTAATCAAGTTGCCTCCCTAGCCACAATGTTGAGAGTCGACACATCTCATGAGCTCTAAACGAGCCAGCTCATGAGTTGAGCTCAACTAGCCACCGAGTCGAGCTAGCTCACGAGCTGCAAAAGGCTTAGCTCAAACGAGTCGAGTTTCGAACGAGTTTTTCAAGAGACGAACGTTGAGCCGCTCGCGAACAGCTCGACTCATTTGCAGCCTAGTCTTAGGGCTACCCGTCTTTATGTTGGGCTTCAGGGCACGTTGAAGTCGAAGTGTTTCTATCGCTATGTTTGTCGACGCCAATAGGACAGGCAACCCAATACCCACCAGTCTTTTGTAAAAGGCCACACTAACCCATGCGGGCCCAAAATGTGATCAATTCAATAATTACTATTGGCCCGTACACATCCTCCTCATCCTCATCCTCACAATCATATAAGGAGATTCTCCTCACAAACCCATCCCATTCTATGTTTCCTACGTTGTGCGCACAATAAGGAAGGATGATTCGATCCTTTTGCTAAGCTCAATTAAATAAAGACAATAATTTATTTCCTTACATATATATTCTAAGGAAAGTAGGAAACCCTACTTATTTTCAGCAAGGCTGCGGAAACATATTACTAGAATCGTTATTAATTATTCCAAATTATATAAGGAAAAAATGAATGAGGAAGCTTTCTTTACACAGTCTTTTGGATGAATAGAAAAAGTAGGTACTTGAGTTTTTTTAATAATTCATGATAATTAGTTAGTTATTAATAATTTGTCGACAAAAATATTTCTCCTAAAATTACTCAGAAAGCTAAAACTTTTGGACCGAGTTTGTTCTCATGGCAGCGGAAGTCTCTGATGTCAATTTCATCATAAATTCCATCATAAATATGAAGTGATAGAGCAAAGCGCAAACAATTTACCTGCTAGCTGAAATTCTCTATATCACTTCATTAGCATTAGTCCACCGGAATGAAAGAGTCTGTTTCACTATATTTTTAGGAGATACCAATTACACAGTGGTATGAAAAATATTTATAGTATTCTCCATGAGACCCCGTTGACTTCCAGTGGTCGCCTAATAATCCAATTCAAATCATATAACAGTTTTCTCTTATTTGCTTACTTATTTCATATTTTGATAATTTATTAGCTTAACAATTAGTGTATGCTCTTTTCTCTACTCGCCACCCAATTTCAGTTGTCTTGGTACTACAAAAGATTATAGAGGGACCATTAGTTTATTCATTATACTGGTATGAGAATTGGTAAATATTGTTTTCATATTTTTACTAAGCAATTATTTTTTGGAGTTCAATGCCTTGAAAAAATGTTTCCCGTGGAGAAAACCATCCAAACAATCAGATAGTGCTAATAAAAATTTGAATGTAAGTACATATAATTTTATTAATATTATTATATATATTTTTATAATTTAACTTATGTTCATGCCGCATGGTACATATAATTTTATTAACATTATTATATACATTTTATAATTTATTGTGTGTCTATTCCACGCTTGATTTAGGGATAAAAGAGCCATTTTTATACCATCAGAATGTGTGGTTGATTATGTCTTATCTAAGCGAAAATTAAGTTTTCGCATGGTACAACATCAATAAACTATTAATTTCTTATAATCTCTTTAACTATTTCACACATCTTGATCTTACAAAATTATTACTCTCCATTTTACATTCTCATATTTAAGGCAAAAGCGTATGTATGAAAATATTCCACCATTCTTAGTTTCTTACTGGTTATCCATTGATTTCATGAGAAATAGATTGTCGAGGTCCATCAAACTTGCCGAAAATCATTATAATCATATTCGTAAAAAAAAAAAATCTTCAGGTGATGCATTTTGGAGACTTTTCAGGTTTATTTATATTTTCAGTATTGCAATTTTCTTCGTTTAAAATAATTTTAGCATTCTTATCAACTTATCTTTGTGTTGGAATTTTAATCTTATTGCAATTGTTCTAGTGTTTGATATTTGTAACGCATCATATAAAGAAAACACATGAATTGGTACAAAAATCTTTCAAGATTTACTTTAATTTGAAGGATTTTGGATTTAGGGATTTAGGGTTAGGGTTTACAATTTGTGATTTTGAGTTGGGATTCAAAATTGAAGGTTAAGGGGTTAGGCTAATGGAAGGTTAAGGGGTTAGGCTATGCTACCAATTAAAATTCAAAATTTAATGTATTATAACCACTTTTAGAGTTGCACCCAAAAAATTGAGTGCACCGAAGTAGTCACCTATATATATATATATATGGTAAGTATATTATAATTTAATGTGTGTCCATTTCACGTTTGATTTAGGGAAAAAGATAGTCATTTTATACCATTAGAAGGTGTGGTTGATTTTGTATCGTCTCTATCTGAAGCACAAATTAGAAGGTGTGGTTTATGGTTTAGGGTCAGAGTGGAGTTTTGGTTTAGTGTTTAGGGTGGTTCGATATTTGTCTCCAGTGATAGGATATTATTATGGACAGGAGGATATTAGTTTGTGATGTGTGGATATTTGTCTGAGTAGTCGGATATTAGTTTGCGGGGGTAAGATATTAGTCAGTGTGTGGTGGATATTTGTCTATGATGGTGAGGATAATAATTATGACTGGATAATAGTCTGAGACGAAGGGATACTAGTCTGGGTGGTGTAGATATTTGTGATGGTGAGCGGATATTAGTCTGCGACAGCTGGATATTAGTCTGGGTGGTTTGAATTTTTGTTCTGTATGGATGTTTATCTACATTGGTTTTCAAGTATGAATAAATAGTGTGCATATATATATATGGGGAGTTCTACGGTACCCCAGGTAAAATCCGGGGTATTCCATACCCTGGGTGATCTTTACCGTACGTGTGATCTCAACGACTCTTGATTTTTCATCGTTAAATCAATTATTAATTATAACAATAATTACCAAAACCATCTTACAAGATATAAATGTTTGTAATTTAGTCTAATTAATTGGTTTGGGTGGGTGAAGTGATTTTTTGGATTGATCTTTTGATTCAACTATCCAACCCCAATACCCAACCCAACCCACGTCCCTAGAGAACTAAAGGAGACCCTCCACAGACCATCCCTAATTCCCTCTTCTTCTTCTTCTTCTTCCTTCTTCGTCCCGACTGTGCCTCTACCTTCATATTGATTCCTCCCAGATCATCCTCTCCTCCACGTTCCTCCCCGAAACCCTAATTCTACCCAACCGCCGCAAGAGCTTCGAGTCCAGCGTCGGCCTCGACTGGAAGGCATTCCGCATCGGAAAATTCGTCCACGACGTGAATTCCCACTGCCGCGGCTCTTGCTCCACCCACTTCCACTCCCAACTGGAACTTATCCTGTCCATCCTCATCTACGGCGGTGAAGGAATCTACTACTTCTTCAAGCTAGTTGTCCAAGTTGGGTTTAATCGACGGGAGGCACACCAAGAGGTTGGGGAAAATAAGTGTCTGGGTTTAATTCGTCGGATACATCGCGAGCTTCTCATTGAAATGTAGGGATTTGAACGAATTGAATGGGGACATGGCCGCGCTGTCGTCAAAGATCGAGATTGCGCACTCGAGAGGAACTGGGTGCGGCGAGGAAGAAGAGAGGATGATGAAATTGAAAGCAAATATGGCGATGAAAAAGCTTTTGATCGCTCTGGATTCACCGATGGGTTTATGGCATTGGCTAATTAGGGGCGGGAAAGGGAAGCTATTGTCGCCGTTGTTTATTTCATGCGTGGGGCTTCTGTCAAACATAATTAGTACCCAGAAGAACTGGGTTGCCTGCTAATCTTTGGGAATCACAGTTAAAAGAACAAATAGCTTCTTTGATATTGTATTGATACATTGTTTGTTTAGATTGGTTGGTTGAATGTCGGGACTGATTCTACCCAGTATGGAGAACAGGAGAAGAACGGATGGCGGTCAGTACTCTGCACCTTCAAGGTTGCCTTCATCCGGCATCACGCAATCGCGAAACAGCCTGGGGACTGGCAGGCGTTATCTACCCGAGGGCAGAAGATTTCAACAGAGACATAGTAGTAGTAGCAGCAAAGGTGGTTTTTTTGGCAACTCGTTGGAAGACGTTCATATTATAGGCAGGGGAAACTTTGCAGGCCGTTCTCCGAGACAAGTGTCAAGTAAACTATTTCAAGATGAAACGAGTAATCAAAGACCAGGTATATGAAACACCAGTTCAGCCACTTGCATTGTGCTCTGACCAAATCCGAGCCAGCAGGTGGGCAAAAAATCTCTTGTTCCATATCGATCTGATTCAATAGTTGATCATTAGATATGATTCACCACATAGCCCAGGCATTCCCTTTATGGTTTTTCCCATTTCACTCTTCAATTTTAATGTTTTCATTTTAGCGATTTTGCTGCTTTATAACTCTTATGACTGCTGCTGTCATCAGGTTTACTGCTGAATCAAAATCCTAGACGGGAGTCGCATTGAAAAGAGGATTTGGTCTGATGGTTTACACACGCTGATATGTCTTTGGTGCTTGTTTACACGCGCTAATGTGTCAAAGGCTCTTTTCAGATCTTCTGCACTTGGTGGTAACGTCATAAGTCTATTTCTCTTCACTTGGCTATGTCTCGATTCAAGGATGCTAATTCGAATGCAGTTAAGGGGAGGCTACTGTGGATGACTATGGTGAGTTAATTTTGGAGAGAACGTGTAGTAGGTTGTATGATAGTACCAGTCTTTATGAAGAGCCATTTTTGAAGGAATTGAAGGAGCTGCTCCTGCTGCTAGTCAAACAAGGCCATCCTCAAGTTATTGCTGTTAGTTCTTAAACTAATATTAGTTCCATTATGTAGCTGTGTTTTTCTACGTAGCTTTTGCTTGTAGTTGATGTTGGGATTCTCTTTTGGGATCTCTCTAGTTTTGTTGAGGTTTCAGGTTAGTCTGTTGTGCTGTGTATGTAACTCATGTCTGTGGACATTTGTGTTGTGGTTTCCAGTTAAGGTGGTTTTTCCAGTAATTGTTGTCCCCGAATCGCTGCTTCTGGGATGATATCGCAGTACAACCTGGAGCACCAAGAAGGGGTGCACAACCTGATGAACATTGTGTACAAGCGGGTTCGAATTGAAGGTTTCGTGGTGCTCGATTACTTCCCCAGGTACGCCGAGTTTTCGGGAAGGTGTTGCCTTGGATCAAGGAAGGGAAGATTGCTTATGCGGAAGACATTGCTAAAGAGCTGGAGAACGCGCCTGCTGCACTGTTGGGGCTCTTTAGTGGTTGTAATGTTGGTAAGCAAGTCGTGGAAGTGGCCCGGGAGTGATAATAGACGACCATAATCTGCACCGTGAAAGCCCAAACTACGTTATAGCACCTCGAAAAATAATCCTTAATAAACGATATTACATTACACCTCTACCATGTTGTTAAGTGTTGGTGTTTGTATTCGTAGAAATTAGCCAGTTACAAGTGGCTATTTTCATATTTGGCGTTGTGTTTATGGTTGGGCAGGATAATAAGCTGGCTCATTGCTCATTCAGTGGCAAGAGAGTCCTACTTTTTATTATTTCCTCCGAGTGTGGTATGTTTGATTTCTTTATTGGTCTATCGACAAGAGAAGGAGAGTAGGATGTCTGAGTTTGGTCATTGTTGTCATTGATTTTGTGAGCAATGGATCTAGCTATCATTTCTATATAATTTGAGATGCTGGCAAAATCTTGAGAAAACTCAGTATTGCCGAGGCTGTAGTTTCTGATCTCAAGCCTCAACTGCAAAAAGAGTTCTTCTACTCGTCGGGCCCTAACTAGACAGAACTCTTGGCCGACTTCGATGGAATGGGCCACGAGAAAGTCCAATTATGGTTTGGTGTTTCCCAATGGACACCGCCACTATTATATAGGTAAGTGAGTGTGTGTTCTTCTCCATTTATCGATGTGGTAGAAATAGAGAATAATGTATGCTCTTCTTCCATGTCCATCCAATTAGCTTCTTGTCTCCTTTTCCTTCCAATTGGTCCTTGCAGGTTGTGAAAGGGTTTCTCTTTCCTGCCAGTTTAGTGTACGGTATCATCCTTTTGGGGTTGGAATTAACGGAGAAGTACTCTTTAGCTAATCACCAATTATGTCGTCAATCTGCAGCATCAAATTAGAGAGTTGTTGTCGATCTTACTGGTCCTACGATATGGGATGTGGGTATGACAAAAGAGTAATCTTTAGCCAAATATTGTATCCCATCAAAGTTTACTTCTGCTTTCTCCAAACCTTTTGTAACTTTCTCTTCGAATCTTTCTTGGTTTTCTTTGATGCAACCTTCACTTCATTGCTGCAAGTTTGAACAAACCTCATATTAATTGAAGACCTTTTTGGTCACTTAGCTTCGACCTTTTTTATAGTTTACTAAGTCATGGAGAATGATTTTACATGGATTGGCTTAGTGATATTGGCTAAAGATTTGAACTAATAAGAAGGCCTTTACTGTTTTTATCAGCTCAAGTGCCATTCTTATAGTTTGTGTTCTATGCCTTTATATATGGTTCCCAATTAGACATTTACAAAAAAATTACAACCTCTAAGGCAATCAAATATGGACATAGAATTATATAATTGAATTTGGTCTCTTAGCCTATCAGTCTATCACTATCAAGACTTAGCTTTGGCGCCATTGGCACTACATAAACTAAAACATCCACTCCGATGACCATTTCCTAAGTATATCAAACTCAACCCAACCCGTTATTCAGTGAACGGGTTTAAAGCCGAACCCTAAGTATATCTTATATACACATTATAGGTAATTAGCAATAAACATTTTTTAACAAGTCTTGTAGCGAAAATGAGCAACGACATGACAAATAAGCGAAACTCTTAGGACATTGCTATTGAAGAAGTGAAATAGCTCGACTTTAGTTGAAATGATTTAGTCTCAACAAGAAATATGGGTAGACCAAACACAAATTGTCACATATGACCATCAACTTGAACAGGTTTTTGCACCAATAGTGAACTTGAACATGAAAAGTTAGTAATCGACTTGTATATGAACAATTAGTGAAATATATTTGGATGTTGAACTTGAACATGAAAAGTTAGTAAATCGACTTGAATGTAAAGGTTGCCATGTTGCAAAAGCTCGACGGAATGCTTGTCCAATCTTGAAATGTTGATTTTTTTCATATCGTACATACTTGATAAAAAAAATTATAATAACAAATTACAATAACAAATTCCTATCAAAATAAAAGTCAAACATCAACCCTCCACATGCAAATTAATAAATTATCCATACATAAAAGATAGTCTATAAAATTCAAGCAAATCACAAATTTCCCATACAAATTTTTCACCACCAATCTATAGAATTCGAGCAAACTCAACCTAACCAGTTATTTAGTGAATCTGTATAAACCCGAAGGTGTGGGCGGGTATCCACGGGTCGATAGTGATGGCAATGGTTCGGGGGCGGGGCGGGTACCTCAGTTCTGGAACGGGTTCAAACCCGAATCCTAAGTAGATCTTATATCTTAGATTTGTTAATGCTAACACACCAAGTTCATATTTTGATATTGCAGACGATTTCCACTTGTAGCTATACATTGATATCACATCGTACATACTTGATACATGGTCTAATGTGGCTTTTTAGGTCAAGAACCTTGAACGAGAGAGTATTAATCTAATGAACTTATACGAAAAAAGAACCTCGTTTATATGAGCGGTAACTTTAAACAATTTTCTAGATACTTAAATAGAGGACATAGGTTTAGAATTTGAAAAAAAAAGAAACAATGAATATAAATTTTCATTCCCCCAAACTATCCCGCCATCTATTTGTTTTGGATTTTCCCATACCATTCTCACCAAATAAAAAGATTTTCCCACCAAATCATGAATTTATTAATTTATGCAGCTTTGAAATAGGAAAGGCTAATTAAACCACAAAGAAAAAAAAAGGAAAGGCTTGACCGGATGGAAAACGATGTTGTACATGACAATAGAATTAGGGTAGCTTTACCTTCATCATTCGCATCCTTCATTCTTCCTCAGATCCACCCATTTCCACACCATCGTTCCAGTGCAAAGGATAACGAAACCAGCACGAAAATCCCAAATCCTGCCCAAAACAACAATCCAACGATGGAGCTCCAAACAGAATCGCGACGGAACGCGTGCTCGGACTCGCCCAGAAGGTCCTGTTCGCTCTTCCCTCTCTGCTCTCTCGATTCCATTATAGCTTAACGATTTTGGTTTCTCATTTCTTTTCATCTTGGATGGCAAGTTGTTCGGATTGCAATCATGTTCGGATCATGCACGGCCAAGGCATCAACCAATTCTCTGATTTGAAGGTAGCTATTTTTCTCCAGATGAAGGTAGCCCTAGAATCAATAATTTTCTTCTTCTTTCATTCTCAAACATTAAAAGGGTGACTTTGGTTGGATTATGTCGAAAAGTGAATGGAGGTGACTTACATCAGTAATATAACTGTAGAACACTGAATCGCTCATGCCTTTGTTCTTGCTTTTGAAGTTTGTACTCGTTGATATGTTTGAAGTTCCTTGCTAAACTGGTCTGGTCTTTGTTGGTTTGTGCATTAGTTTATTTGGATAGATTATTCTCAAGGGATAGATTCCTGAATTCTCTAGTGTTTAGTTTAAGCTCTTAGCATTCAAGGCATAGTACTTTGGTTGGATTTTCCTTTCTGGGAGCAATTGCTGGCTATTGCGGATATCTCCTTTCTTACCCTTGTTTCCCTTTGATTAGGAATATGAAAGACTGGAAAGGATGGAGCAACACTTGAGAATCGATAAAACACCTTTGTCCCCAAACGCCAGCTACAAGTAAGTTTACTTCACATTACCAAAACAGCTGCTATATGCTGTGAAGTCTAGAGAAAGGGGGGTCACTTTTGTTCAAGAAATCTTCTTTCTCAAATGGATGATTCACTGATTGCTTACGTGATAATATTAGACAGGAAATGCTCGATGTCCCGGTTTTGTACATAGTCGGAGCTTTCATCCCAGCAACAATGATAGCGGTGCTACATTACTTTGATCATAGTGTGGCATCTCAGCTAGCTCAGCAGAAAGAGTTCAACTTGAGGAAACCACCCTCTTTCCACTATGACTTGCTTCTTCTTGGTTTCATGGTATATTTTCAGCAGAAAATGGTTCACCTCGTCACTTTAGATGTTGTGTTACTTATCCACACTGAAAATTTAACAATGGCAGGTCATCTTGTGTGGTCTCCTCGGAATCCCTCCAGCGAATGGAGTCATCCCTCAATCTCCAATGCACACCAGGACTCTGGCTACTTTAAAACATCAGGTATGCACATTACAACTCTTCAATAGTTTTCATCCATCCCTGACGACTCTTAATAAATGTCCAGAGACTCCATACTTCAGTGACTGTATATGTAAATTACTAAAAATGGTGCTTTAACACCATTTAACATCAGTGCATCACCCTTTTGGTACAGTTGCTTCGTAGAAAACTCTTGGCCACAGCACGCAAGCGCATGAGTGAGAATGCAAGCTTGGGGAAAGTTTATGCAAGCATGAAAGAGGCCTATCAACAGGCTCAAAGCCCGCCGAACCTTCCGGGACCTTCTGCTCCTGTATGTGTGTCCTCATTTGCATCAAAGAGTTAGAAAAGTTTGGTTCCAACATCTGCTGTAAAGTTGATTTGTTTACCCCAAGCAGGGTCTGAAGCAACTTGCTCCAGCTCATTATCACAGTTCACATCTTTTTTAACTTGCAGCAATCCTGGGCATCCGTTTTCGTGTGGGGTAACATTGGCCAAGCTTGCCGCTGTCACAACAGATGACGAGGGAAATGAAACATTTGATGCAAGCGGTGCTTTGGATAAATTGAGCAAGGTAGCTTGTTTTTTATTTATCCTTTTTGTTTTTATTTTATTTATGGTGCTTGTTTTTTATTCATCATTAGTTTTGGTAAATAGTTGGTATAATACAAATACTATCTTGTATACAGGTTGAAAAACTGTACCAGCATCCAATGTTCCGTAATGATTGGAGGGACAAAGTACATTGGGGCAGTGGCAACATCCAAAAAATACGCAAGGATAAAATCGAAAATACTTGCAACGAGAAAATGGAAAACGACCATAAGGCAAGTTTTGGACCTGCTAACTTTATCTTTCTTTGAGCATATTGTCAGTTTGTATCCTTCAACCACTTATATTGTTTTTTCTATTTTGCAGACCTCGTAACATGCATCCTGCTCTCAAACAATTTTGGCAGCATCGAATTGCAACCATAAGCATACTGCTGGTTTCCGGGTGAGCTGATAATGAAAACATATTTAACTTGCTTGCTTAGTAGTCTCTCAAGGTTGCTTTAGTAGAAACTTTTTTTAGAGTTTAAGTCGCAGAATGATCTAAATACTGTTCTAAAACCAGAATATCCATGATCTTAAAGAACCAAAAGGTACCCAAAAAAGTACCAAAAAATACCCAATAAAACACCCTAACATCCTAACCAGACCAATAACTCATAATAGCCAGTCGAATAACTCAAATAGCTAAGTTGTTGCTCCTTTGTTGATCACTTCTCGTACGTGGCTTCTTCTACAACATTGAATACACTAAAGTTAGTACGAAAAAGATATGGATGCAACAATATTAGGTAGACATGCACAAGGAACTAGAGATGGCAACAAAACCCGAATCCACGGGTACCCACCCGACCCAACCCGGTCAACGCGGGTAAAACCCATGTTGACGGGTTTTGGGCCGGGTTTGGGTTTAAACCCGCTACACTATTCACCGGGTCGGTTTGGGTTTAGGTAAACCCGCCCCATGGGTACCCGCCCACACATATAATTACTTTTTCGGTATATTTAATATTCTAAATAATATATCTTCCTTAAATAACTAATATTCTTTATGTTTGTAGAGACATGTATAATTTGTTCTTTCTAATTGTTTAGAATGAAGTTAATATTATGAAGTGGAGACTGAAGAAACTTAGTTGAAGAGGAAGAAACTTTCAATTAATCTTATTGTTTATAGATGTTTAACTTTAATTTTGAACAATTTGTATTGATCATTTGCGGTTTGCTTGTATGCTCTAGATTGTTGTTTTTTGTATGAATAATTTGTATGAAAAAATTGATGTTAAACTTTTATTTTGAAAGAAACTTGTTATTGTAAATTTTTTACCACAAAAACCCAGGGGTACCCATGAACCCGCGGATACCCAGCGGGTTGGGTTGGGTTTGATTTTTTCAAACCCACCGAGTTTTACCCCGGTTTTTTTTTACGGTTAAACCCATGGGTTTGGGTTTGACTAAACCCCCCCCCCCCCCCCCCCCCCCAACCCGACCCATTGCCATCCCTACAAGGAACTCTTAATATTACCCTTTGTTGGTCGTCAATGTCAGTAGTACCATCATCCTCAGCACTATCCTCCTCTGATGACTCTGGGCAAGTTCTTCTATTGTGCTGCGTTGAACCGCATCTTCTGCAATGTTTTTGTCTCGCCTTAGTTAATGTTCCTGTCTGGTTTTGGATGTCTAGGGCATCACCATCCTCTTCGTTTTGATTACCATTGTTATTGTCTTCTTCCTCAGTCTGTGGGGTTGACTCTGTAGTAGTCGACCTTACATACCCAGGAGGGTGTGGACAAGTGGATTTATAATGAGCCCATTCCCCACATCTACTACACTGTCTTTGCTCTCCTTTCTTCTTCTTCTTCTTGTTTTGTTGACCCCCTGAACCTTTATGTTTCACCGGCAATGGATCCAACAACTTCTCTTTTGCCTTCGATCTATGAATGTCTGGTATCTCAGTATTACCAATGTGCATCGTGTCTAGCGATTCACATAATGATGAAATTCCTTCACGAGCAAACTTGAAGCAATCACTAGATTTTGCTCCTTTTACGCATAATTGTAAGCTGGCTTATTGAATAATCCCATACCTGAAAGTCAGCATAGTTTAGTTGCTGCAGAATATCCATTTTGGATAAAAAAAGACATTGCTCTATGTTAACCTTATAATTAAAGATCATTTGGGGTGAGCTTAGCTTTTAAAACACCTACATGTTGCTTTCTTATGATAATAAGACAATTACTTGAGGTATAGAATAATCACAAACCTAAATGTGAAAAGTCGACCCTCATCGATATTATCTTGTTGCGGTAAGCTCTCTAGTGTCTTCGGCTGCTGTGACCACCTTAACCGTACCAAGTCTTTTGGAAGTTCGAGTATCCCCTCTTCTTTTAGTAGAAAAACCATATGACAGCATGGTATCCCCATATAGTTGTAATAATTACAACTACACTCCATGGAAAAGCGGTCTATTGTGTATTTGACCCTGAAAACCTTCTATTTGCCCATCATTGTCATCCTGTAAGTGTGCTCATTTGGCGATACCTCTGAATCCATTCTTATGCAATCTCCAGACTTTTCAACCTCATCTCTAAATACAAAAAATGCCTTCTTTGTGAATAAGGCAACAACACTCTTCTGAAGTGATACTAAGACATGGGACGTAATGCTACGTTCACGATGAATGGATTCAAAATCAGCGTGTAGCTCAATCTCCCTCATATCTCTACTCCAACGATCAAAATTAATGAAAAACTCAAGTAGATTGTTATCATTTTGGATATAATTGGTCAATTGGGAGTTCATTCCTTCACATCTACATGTTGTTGCCAAACCTGCAAAGAACTTAGAGCACAAGTATGTATACGCCCATTCAGTTCTTTGGTTAAATAGATTGGAAACCCAATTGTTGTGCTGCAGTGAGCACTCTTCAACCAATGATTTCCACTTAGCTTCAAAATCTGATGGTTCCAAGTCAGCTGTAACAAAATACTGCCATCGAGTAACAAAAATAGGAATTTTCTTCAATCTACTGATAATGGTCTTGTCTATGTGCCAAGAACACAGACGGTGCTTTGCATCAGGGAATATTTGTTGAATTGCATTGCGCATAGATTTATCCCCATCTGTAATAACTGTCTTAGGAGCTACACCGCCCCCACCCTTCTCTTCAAAGCATCCAAAACTCATACATAATTTTCTTCTTTTTCATTAGCTAGAAAAGCACATCCAAATATGCAAGTGTTTGAATGGTGGTTGACTCACTTCTACTGTCACTCCAGGAATTGGCCAAGTGAAACCACTTCCTAAAGCGTAGTATAGCGGGTTTGGGTTTAATTATCAACCCGGGTCCTAGATTTGATGACTACTCAGTGAATTCTTGTTATCTAGCAATGAAACTTTAATGCAAGTCTAAACTAACAAACTAACAAAGCAAGTAAACAGTTGTATTCAGGTTAAGAGAGGTCCCCCGGATATGGTTCCCCCTAGACTGCAGTTAAGCCGGATTGTAATTACCAAGTTCAGTTTCTATGATAGTTATACTGCGGAAGGTTCTTAAACAGCCTGAAGTCTCGACTAAAGGTCTTCAGACCCTCTCAATCTGAGTCTCTAGCGGGCGACTAACCTCCACCGGAGTAAACAGATTGAGGCCTTAACAAACAAAACCTTCATTACCGGAGTAAATCCGGTACAGAATAGCGAGTTGGCTCCTCGACTAAATTCACCAACTCCCTACCTTCAATCAAGGATGCTCTATCAACCTAGGCAGATATTCTCATTCTAGGTTAAAGCAGAAACAACAGGAATTTGATCAGGATTCATGCCATTCAATCATTCAAACCTCAATTGAATATAATCAAATCATAAAATCAGTACTTGGGTTCATACAATCAAACCTAACATACAAATCTAGGGTTCTCCATACCTAGATGAATGGGAGAACTACTCCATGGAGAAAGAAGCAAAAGCAGAATCAGACGCGGAATTCATACTGTGAAGGATGGATTCCTGCTCCTGGACGTTGATCGGCACTTCTCCAAGCTCAAACTGGCCTCCAATGGTGATGAAGATCGAGCTAGGGCACTTGGAGACTCTTGTTCGTCGCTTTCTCTCTCTAGGAATCGCTCTATCTCTCTCCAAACTCGAATCCCCCCGACTTGTGGCTGGAAATTGGCTTAAAACTAGAAAATCCCGACTCACACGGGCAGGCCACCCGGCCGTGTGGCTCACCCAGTTGCCCGTGTGAGTCAAAACGCAGCGCATCAATTAGTTGAATTCCAGGCTTCTTACACGGCCAGGGTCACACAGCCGTGTAGCTCACCCAGCCTGCCCGTGTGAAGCCTCGCAGAATTCCACACGGCCAAAATGCATCCTCACACGGCCGTGTGGATTTTCTGCTCTGCCCGTGTTTGCTCTCGCACAATCCCACACGGCCAAACTGGTCACTTGCACGGCCGTGCGGGTTGTGGGTGTGCCCGTGCGACTTCCTTTGTGACTTGCCTCGCGCCCGATATTCGCCCAATCGACCCCGAACTCGCTCCTAAACCTTCATTCACTTGCCAGGACCTGAAATATCAGAAACAAGCACAACCTAGCGTGAAATCGGTCTAAAACACGAGAAACCACATCTCAAACGGTGTAAGAACAGGGGTCAAAACATGTGTAATTAACGGTCTATCAGTGGTTCACTCCTAAAAGTAAAACAATAAAATGTTATGAAAAGAAGCAAACTAATAAGAGAAATGGTGGCTCTAACCTAATTTTATGAACATCCAGCAACACATCCAAATCCCTACTTTATTAGGCTTCTAAAATCAAAAGGAGGTTGATATATTATGAAAAGAATGACATGATTAGTACCTGAAAAAATGACTAGAGGCATCTTATAAATGTTCCTTTTGTACGTCGCATCAAATGCCAGTAATTCTCCAAAACATGCATAATCAGCCACCGAAATAGAATCTGCCCAGAACAAGTTAATAAGCATGTCTTCACCATCTTTCTTTAGTTCAATGACGAATTGTTGGTCGGCACTAAGTTTTGCTTGTAAATAGGCCAGGGCTGTAGCAGCATCACCTTCACGAATTTGTTCTCTTCGTTCTTTGTCCACATAATTATATGCATCTTTCCTTGTGAACCCCACCTTCTGATAGCCTCCAGCTTCTGCAACGGCTAGTGAAACGATTTGATGCATTTTCATGCCTGCAGCTCTTCGAAAATTAATTGCCGCTTTAATTGCATCACTCATACGACGATTCCCTTTCATGTAGTGCTTGTACATCTGGGGAATCAGTGCATGAGAGTGTTCGTTATCAAAGGTGTCCACAAACCAATTCGAAGTAGACTTGTCATATCGAACACGCATCCTAGCATTGCAGTCAAACCTTGTCTCTGCTCTTGGCTCTCTCTTTCAGGCTGTCTGTTTTTTACGCCTTTTTCCCTCGCAAGAATATACAAACCAGCGCCATATCGGGACTTTGTCCTTATCTCGACCAATTTCCTCTTTTCTTACATCAAACCCAGTGGCCAGCCCGTAGTCCCTCCAAAAATCATATGCTTCGTCTAGATCTTTGAATCTGAGTTTCATAATATCTTCTGTTTGTAGAAGTAGTAGATTGACAAAATCATCTTCCTCTATATTTGAACTAGTATCCCCGTTTGGATGAGTTCCCTCTGATGCCATGTCCTCGGTGTTAGGATTAGAAGCATCGATGCCATCTTTTGGATGAGCTCCCTCCGCTGCCATGTCCTCCTCGGTGTGAGGATTAGAAGCATCACTGACATCGTTTGGATTATTTTCCTTGTCTGCCATCTTCGTGAGACGATTTGTGAAACTCAGGAAATCTCAGCTTACGAGTGTCGCAACTCACAACTAATCTATGTTAGGGCAGTCTCTTAATTTTACGCAGCCAAATTGGTTCTTCTATATAGGAAGAGGCTATCACGAGACTCCATGGGCTGTCCATAGAAACAAAATGACACCATGGGCTGGATCGAGAGCCTTATTGTTTTCACAGATGGACTATTAAATTAAGAAAAGTGAATATACAGTTTAATAATAAATTAAAATCTCTACAACCACCGTGAGTTAGCTAGAAGCTTATAAGGAAGTAGGTGGAAGATTAATTAACTGTGTTTCATTAAATGAGGGGATAAATATAGAAGTTCCCTCAGTTCGAATAAGACTTGGCACAATTATCCCACACAAAAAAAACACTTGGCACAATTAACTTCTACACTGCTACTACGTTATTCCTAATTGATGAGGTTAAAACCCCCTATGTCTCGACTATTAAACCACAACCCTCAGTTGCATTCGAGAGACAACACAATCCCTCTGCCTCACACTTAATTAAACCACAAGCCCTTTGCATCATGGGGAAGGAAGGGTATAGTTTTTCAATCCTTTTTTATTCTTATTTTAACTTTGGTTATGTGATTTTGGTGTATTTGTTCTCCTCGTCCACATGTTGATTTCTTGTACAATTATATTAGGGAGGAGATCAATATGCCCAACAAAATGTCTCGCGGCCAGTCGACTACACGGCTAACGCGTTCTGCAGCAAAGGCTTTGGAGAACTATGTATTGCCGGCGAAGAGAACTAAAACGGGAGATGATGGGACCCCCCCCCCCCCCCCCCCCCCCCCCCCCCCCCCCCCCCCCCCCCCCCCCCCCCCCCCACGGACACTGGGCTCGAATGTGATTGTTCTTGACGGTGAATTTGGAGTTGACCGTTACGAGAAAGGTGTGGGAAAAAACACCAATTATCCAGCACAACAATTGTCGACAGTGTTGTAATCCAACAAGCCGAGCATTTTACAGTGTTCTTTCATTAATTTGGTCTTTCATTAATTTGTTACTAGACATGTTTTTTCTTTAATTATTTTTTTCATTTGCAAAATAAAAGCCTACCACTTTAGATTTGTGATTCACAATCTGTTTGTTTTAGAGTTTATGGGTTCAAATCAGCATCCCAGTAAACCAGATCACTTAGATTAGCCTTGTATCCCATTGATGTTGTCGATGAAGAAAAGAGCATGATTAATTATTAATTGTGTTTGTTCGTTGCCCATCATTGTAGGGTACCACGAGGTTTAATCTCCCTCAAACCGTAAGCTACAGTGAGGAAGAAGTGAAGCTTGCTCACTATATCTTTGCTGAAGATCTTCCACCTAACGAACCATTGGTCCAAACTATGACTTCTATAGCCGGAAGACATTGTGGAGCTTATGCTCTGACTCATGTGTCCATGCCGATGTAAGTTCTCCTATTATACTACTAATTGGTAATTTGTTTCACTTTTTGAACTATAGTGTTCATATATTTTGTGTTTATGTTCTGTGGCACATTAGGTAATTACAGCATTAGCTTGCCACTTGACCCTTGACGAACTTTGGAGGGATGCTGGTCATGGAAAACGGGTGTGCTTTCTGCCTACAGAATTCCAGGTATATATCGATTTTACCTTGTAATTCTATTCTAGTTAAGCATACTTGGTTACTTTATTAAGCAAGCTCAATGTTGAATTCTTTAATTTTTTCTACGAACAGGATCTTGTCATGAATTGTGGCATGACACCTACTATTGCATTATAGGCATTCCGTACAAAATTCCTTTCAAAAGCTCTAAACTGCAGAAAGGTTATGACTTCCCACGCCACCCATATTATCGTGTCCTCAAATTAGTAAGCTGATTGAGTGATTTTCTCGTATATGTGTAGGGGTGGGCAACGGGAAACGGGTATTTGGGTATACCCGTACCCGTCCCGTTTTTTAAGGGTTACGGGTACCCATATTTCCCGTATTATTATAAACGGATGGGACTTGGGATTGTACATTCCTAATATGGGTACCCGCGGGTTACCCGCAAATACCCATTTGGGTAATGTGGGTACCCGTTATACCCATTTACCAGATATAGCCAACAGCCCAACACCCAACCCAATTCACTAATACAGAAATGTGGCATTGGGCCTTGGCCATTTCGGCCCTTACCCTTAGTCGACCCTTACCCTGCCTGGCTGCCTATTCCCTTTCAGCTTTCACTTAACTGCGAGACAGTCAGACAGCGAGAGTGTGAGACAGCGTCCTCCACCCAGCGCAGCCTCAGCCGCAGCGCCAGCCTCAGCTAAAGGCCGACAGCAAGACCTAGCTCGCAGCCAGGAACAGGTGGAATATCAGCAGCATCACCATTCACCCGGCGTTGTTATCTATTTAGGTATGCAGCTGCCATTCTCTTTTCTTTTCTACTTACAGTACATATTATGGACTCTAATTACTAGTTAGGTTGGTTCTGCTAATTACTAATTATGTTTCGAATTTCCAGCATCTGTCTATTTGGTTTATGTTGATTTGGTTTATAGTTTCCATGGCTAATCAAGGGAATGAAGCCAGTCAAGTGAATGAAACTTTGGGTATTTATGGGTATTTATGGGTACCCGTTATCCGTCCCGTACGGGTAATGGGTACCCGTTTCCCATAGAGGTCTGGAGAGTTGCATTGGTTTGAGTTAGGTTTGCTTGGGGACAAGCCAACGGTTAGTGTGGGGGGTTTGATAACGATGTAATTGCACATATTTGCGCCCCTAGTTCTCATCCGTTTGAGGGGCATAGTCGTGTATTGTGGCCTATTTTACGCCGGGTTGTGCTATTTTGTCATGTTTCAGGTCCTAGGTGTCAAAGGGAAGGCTAAGCGCGAGTTTCGGGGCAATCAGAAGTCATTTCGGTGAGCTGGAGCCAAAACACGGGCACACCTAAATCATTACACGGCCGTGTTCTGGTGGCCGTGCTTTTTATGCCGAGAGCTGAGCTGATTACACGGGCAGGGCCGAGACAAAGCACGGCCGTGTTCCACCAAAGCACGGCCGTGTCCAACGCGAATCACGGCCGTGTTTCTCCTAGTGTAATTAATACTAGCCAAAACACGGGCGGGCTGAGGCATTACACGGCCGTGCCCTCGACCGTGCTTTGGCCACTGATGCTTTTAAGTAGATTTTCAGCCACAAGTCAGGGGATTCGAGTTTTTGAGAGATAGAACGATTCCTAGAGAGAGAAAGTGATGAGCAAGAGTTCCCAAGTGCCCTAGATTGATCTTCAACACCGTTGGAGGCCAGCTTGAGCTTGGAGAAGTGCCAATCAACGTCCAGGAGCCGGAATCCGTCCTTCGCAGTATGAATTCCGTGTCTGATTCCGCTTTTGCTTTCTTCTCCATGGAGTAGTTCTCCCATTCATCTGGGTATGGAGAACCCTAGATTTGTATGTTAGGCTTTGATTGTATGAACCCAAGTACTGATTCTGTGATTGATTATATTCGATTGAGGTTTTAATGATTGAATGACTTGAATCCTGATCAAATTCCTGTTGTTTCTGCTTTAACCTAGAATGAGAATATCTGCCTAGGTTGATAGAGTATTCTTGATTGAAGGTCGGGAGTTGGTGACTTTAGTCGAGGAGCCAACTCACTATTCTGTACCAGATTTACTCCGGTAGTGGAGGTTTTGTTTGTTAAGGCCTCAATCTGTTTACTCCGGTGGAGGTTAGTCGCCCGCTAGAGACTCAGATTGAGAGGGTCCGAAGACCTTTAGTCGAGACTTCAGGCTGTTTAAGAACCTTCCGCAGTATAACTATCATAGAAACTGAACTTGGTAATTACAATCCGGCTTAACTATAGTCTAGGGGGAACCATATCCGGGTGACCTCTTTAACCTGAATACAACTGTTTACTTGCTTTGTTAGTTTGATAGTTTAGACTTGCATTCCAGTTTCATTGCTAGATAACAAGAATTCACTGAGTAGTCATCAGATCTAGGACCCGGGTTGACATATAAACCTAATCCGCTATACTACGCTTTAGGAAGTGGTTTCACTTGGCCAATTCCTGGAGTGACAGTAGAGTCGAGTCAAGTTTTTGGCGCCGTTGCCGGGGACGGCTGGTTGTTGAAGAAAAGTGATTTATGTTAATTTAGCCTTTTTCTGTTTGCTTTCTTTGCTTTGTCCCACTTGTGCCTTCACGGGTTTGCTTGCTTGAGAGTGTGCAGGTAGTGCATGACCCGTAGCCAGTCGGGAGGTTTACTGCCGTTGAATCCAGAGATTGACCGCACCTGTCGCCAGCTCAGGAGACAACAGCGAGCTAGACTGGCTACGGAAGAGCGCATAGACAGCCACGTGAGCAGTGATTCTGAAGAAGAGCACGGGATGGACGGAGAGTACAATCAACACCAGGGGAATCCTCAGCAGGCTCCCCCTAGTGAATCAGGTCCTGGGGAACAACCCCATACCCCAGGATCATGGAGTTCATCATCCACCGCAGCCGAGACCCACCTTGGAGTACTACTACACTCCTCGGATTGCTGACATCCGCCCGATCATTCTCTACCCGCCGATCCCAGCAAACAACTTCGAGATCAAGCCATGCTAGATTCAGCTCATCACATCCTCGATCCAGTTTCATGGCTTGAAGGATGAGGAGGCCATGGGTACATCTGTCCCGTTTTCTGCAGCTGACAAACGGGTTCAAGCTGAACGGTGTTCCCGATGATGCGATCCACCTTCATCTCTTCCCACATTCTCTGGCGGGGAATGCTAAGAGGTGGTTGGAGACCCAGCCCCCATTGTCCATCACCTCTTGGGACGATCTGGCGGACAAGTTCGTGCACAGGTATTATCCGGCATCGAAGACTACAGAGATCTAGCGGGAGATCACTCACTTCCGCCAAGAGCCAGATGAGTCACTTCGTGATGCGTGGGAGCGGTACATGGGCTATTTCTGGCAGTGCCCCCATCATGGCTTCAGCGATGCATTCACAGTGGGGAACTTCTACAGTGCCCTCTCTCCAGATAGCCAGAGGGTGATTGAGTCTCTATGCCTAGGAGGGGATATTCTCACTAAGACTCCACCCGAGCTGAACCAGATGATTAATACATTGGCTGCCAGAGATCATTCCTGGGGGCAGAGCAGCAGAGGCAGACATTCCCGGAACCGTGGTGTGCACGCCATGGAGTCCAGATCCGGACTCGAGCAGCAGGTAGCTGAGCTGGTGCAGACATTGAAGCAGCCCAACAGTCTTATTCCGGGCAGAGGTTTGGCTACACCTCCAGTTGCTCAGTGTCAGTGGTGTGAGAGCTCCAATCACCTAGTGGAGGACTGCCAGGCTATGAGGGAGTCTACCACACCCCAGGAGCAGTTATCCTTCATCGCCAATGCGCGGCGCCTCGATCCATACAGTAACACATATAATGAGGGGTGGCGCCAGCATCCCAACTTCGCCTGGAGCAGCAACACCACTAAACCACCTGGTTTCCCAGCACCAGCATGTGGTTTTCAGCAGAGGCAGCCCTTCCAGGCTCGCCAGGGGCCAGACCCACAGCAGCAGCCCTACCAGCCTAGGCAGGGGCAGCCATTCCAGCAGCCCCAGCGCCAGTTTGACGAGCCAGTAGCAGCTCCAGCCCCAGATGACAGGATGACAAAGCTGGAAAACATTCTAGCTTCATTCATGACGAGCACTCAGGCGACTATCACGAGGTTGGACCAGAGTGTAGCTTCACTGTAGGCAGGTCAGAGGAACCAGGGTGCAATTTTGCAGGATCTGCAGACCCAGGTGGGCATCTTGGCCCGCCAAAGCACCACCAGGGCACCCGGGACTCTGCCTGCCACCACTGTCCCGAATCCTCGGGATCCTCACCAGCTCCAGCAGCTTGATGCCATTTTTACCAGGAGCGGTAGGGCCATATATGCTGATCCTGTTCCGGCCAGACAGGAGGAACCACTACCTGCTTCAGCACTTCCAGCAGACGATGCAGCAGTACGGGTGGAGAAGGAAGCCCCTGCTCCCAACCCACAACCAGTGGTTAAGGAGCATGTGCCCCAGCTTCCCTTCCCCACTCGCCTACACAAGGACAAGCTGGAGACTGAGTTTGCCAAGTTCATGGCAATGTTGAAGCAGCTCAACATCAGCATACCGTTCGTGGAGGCACTGTCAAAGATGCCCAAGTATGCCAAGTTCATGAAAGATCTCTGCACCAACAAGAAGAAACTTGGGGATCTCTCGACAGTGCTGCTGAGCAAGGAGTGTTCTGCTATCCTGCAGAACAAGCTGCCCGAGAAGCGCAAGGATCCAGGGAGTTTTACTATCCCTCTTACTATTGGCAGCATGCATGTAGGAAAGTCCTTGGCGGACCTAGGCGCTAGCATAAACGTCATGCCATATAAGTTGTATAAAAAGCTAGACCTAGGTGAACTTAGCCCTACTAGGATGAGCATTCAGTTAGCTGATCGTTCTATCGTGCATCCTAGGGGAATCATAGAGGATCTGCTTGTTAGTGTTGGTGCATTCACATATCCTGTTGATTTTATTATTCTTGATATACATGAGGATGTGGATGTACCTTTGATTCTGGGTAGACCATTTCTTGCCACCGCCAAGGCACTTATTGATGTGCATGATGGTAAGTTGATCTTGCGTGCTGGGGATGAACAGGCTACTTTTTATGTGACTGAATTTGATCACTGTGCTATGGTTGCTGTCAAGCCTGTGCATGCCATTTCTGATCAGGTACACGAGTCTGTCGTGTACCCTTCTGCACCTCCTATTTTGCAGGACCCTCCTATCATTCCTTCGCCGCCACTCCATCCAGCCACGCCTCCGAACAAAAAGCTCAAGGAGGAGTGGCGGTCGAAGCAGCAGGTTGCTAAGCCTGCACGGAAGAAGAGCGGAGACCACTATGAGCTGGTCCCACCTCCTGCACCACGACCACCCTGGCCGTCCGGGTACTCACTCGCCTGCATCTTCTCAGATGGGCAGGTCGAGCTGACTGATGATGGTGGTCGCATCCGTCGGGTGCATGGCCACAACCTCAAGCTGTACCTCAAGAGCGACGTGGATCCGCTCTTGAAGGCACCTGTTCCTGCACCGCCCTGAGTATCCACCATGGGCGTCCAGCTAAAAGACGGTAAAGAAGCGCTTGTGGGGAGGCAACCCCACCACGGTTTGATTTTCTTTCTTGTGTTTTGAGTCGGATTGTAACCCGGTTTGGGTTTGGTTTTTTTTCTTTTGGTTTGGATGATATTTTATTGGGCTGACCATTGAACCTAACATATTGTGTTTGAGCTCTTCTGTTTCCCTTTGGCTGTGCTTGCCCCGACTGGCCGTTTCCAGTCTCCTGCAGTCCGTGCATACCGGTAACATCGTTCCCTTTTCCTTCCCTCTTCTCCATTGAGGGCAATGTCGATCTTAAGTGTGGGGGGATGTTTATCTTTTGACTGCATTAGATCTGTTTGTGTACTTGGAGCCTAGTCCACTGTCCAAATTTTTAAATTTGAGGGCTCCAAGTACGTGTTTCCTTGCAATTGCCTTCTCAGTATGCTTTGAATTGACAGTCTTTATAGTAATATGCAACCTAGGGAGGTAGTGTAGCACTATGGAGGATGTTGATGCATTTAAGAAATCTCATTTCTTCTTCATATTGTGTTGGTTGATTGAGTGAATTAGTGATCTTAGGACCCTTGAATAGTGTGATGTTGTGGATTTTCTACCTGTCATGGACTCTTGTGTCATGTTTTGAAAATAACAGGTGCTCGAAAATGTGCTTCAAAATAAACGTCTCCCGTGCGAATAGGGCGAAAGTGTGTAAGGGGAGACGGGAATTCGTTCCCAATTTCCACCTACTACCTCCAGCCCCCTTACATGTCTTTCCCCCGCACGAGGCTCGAGACATCCGCTCCTGGCATGGCCGGTAAGAGCAGGTTGGGACCCTTGAAAAAGAAAAGAAAAGAAAAATATCAGAAAACAAGCAAAACAGGAAAAAAAGGGGGGTTCCAACCATCTTTAAGCAGAAAATAGAGCACCTTGAAAAATGTGAGTCCATGGTCTTTTGTTTTTGAGAATCTCACCATCCACAATTCATTTGTCCTCTATTCACTATTTGCCATGATGCCGACTCGATACTAGTGCTCTCGCCGAAGAAGCTATGAGATTACTTGTGCGTCGGTTGACCTCGTAAGTTGCTAATTGACCTAGGAAGTCCACTATCTACGATCTGGGTTGTTTGCTGCTATAGAGGTCTGGAGAGTTGCATTGGTTTGAGTTAGGTTTGCTTGGGGACAAGCCAACGGTTAAGTGTGGGGGAGTTTGATAACGATGTAATTGCACATATTTGCGCCCCTAGTTCTCATCCGTTTGAGGGGCATAGTTGTGTATTGTGGCCTATTTTACGCCGGGTTGTGCTATTTTGTCATGTTTCAGGTCCCAGGTGTCAAAGGGAAGGCTAAGCGCGAGTTTCGGGGCAATCGGAAGTCATTTCGGTGAGCTGGAGCCAAAACACGGGCACACCTAAATCATTACACGGCCGTGTTCTGGTGGCCGTGCTTTTTATGGCGAGAGCTGAGCTGATTACACGGGCAGGGCCGAGACAAAGCACGGCCGTGTTCCACCAAAGCACAGCCGTGTCCAATGCGAAGCACGGCCGTGTTTCTCCTAGTGTAATTAACACTAGCCAAAACACGGGCGGGCTGAGGCATTACACGGCCGTGCCCTCGACCGTGCTTTGGCCACTGATGCTTTAAGCAGATTTTCAGCCACAAGTCAGGGGATTCGAGTTTTTGAGAGATAGAACGATTCCTAGAGAGAGAAAGTGATGAGCAAGAGTTCCCAAGTGCCCTAGATTGATCTTCAACACCGTTGGAGGCCAGCTTGAGCTTGGAGAAGTGCCAATCAACGTCCAGGAGCCGGAATCCGTCCTTCGCAGTATGAATTCCGTGTCTGATTCTGATTTTGCTTTCTTCTCCATGGAGTAGTTCTCCCATTCATCTGGGTATGGAGAATCCTAGATTTGTATGTTAGGCTTTGATTGTATGAACCCAAGTACTGATTCTGTGATTGATTATATTCGATTGAGGTTTTAATGATTGAATGACTTGAATCCTGATCAAATTCCTGTTGTTTCTGCTTTAACCTAGAATGAGAATATCTGCCTAGGTTGATAGAGTATCCTTGATTGAAGGTAGGGAGTTGGTGACTTTAGTCGAGGAGCCAACTTACTATTCTGTACCAGATTTACTCCGGTAGTGGAGGTTTTGTTTGTTAAGGCCTCAATCTGTTTACTCCGGTGGAGGTTAGTCGCCCGCTAGAGACTCAGATTGAGAGGGTCTGAAGACCTTTAGTCGAGACTTCAGGCTGTTTAAGAACCTTCCGCAGTATAACTATCATAGAAACTGAACTTGGTAATTACAATCCGGCTTAACTGCAGTCTAGGGGGAACCATATCCGGGTGACCTCTTTAACCTAAATACAACCGTTTACTTGCTTTGTTAGTTTGATAGTTTAGACTTGCATTCCAGTTTCATTGCTAGATAACAAGAATTCACTGAGTAGTCATCAGATCTAGGACCCGGGTTGACATATAAACCTAATCCGCTATACTACGCTTTAGGAAGTGGTTTCACTTGGCCAATTCCTAGAGTGACAGTAGAGTCGAGTCAGTATTCTTGTTTTTAACTTTTGCAGATTGAATTTATGGACGAATTGTTCAAGGCTTTGCATAAAGAAGTGAAAACCAATGTGCAGCACCAAAGATTAAGGAGTTTTCTTGGTCAACTCCTTCACTTGCAGAACAACATCACAGGTATGAATGTGTGTTTTTTCTAGCATAATTTGAATATAAAATAACTTTTAGCTTACTTACATAATGTATCTTCTTACATAGGAATGATGGTGGGATTTGGGTGTGCGTCTGGATGATGGGTGCAACCTGGGATTCTCACTATGGCATTTGGGTAAGAAATCCCATTCCTCCTAGATGACCTCTTTGTATGGTACATTACAAAAATGTCTATGTAGAACAAAGTTTACTAATACATTGAATTCAAGAATATTTGAGGGTGTCCAGCTGGTTGGTGAGTGCGAGAAAGGTTGACAGATTTACTGCTGCGTTCTATCTTTCGAACATTAAAGGAAGATTGTTATTTCCCATGGTATAAATGAAAAATGATAGGATTTTTACGCAACCTAATCGGGACAAGCTTGTTCACTCACTTCTTTAAGCTGTCTGTAGTTATGCTGTATTTATGCCATCATGTGGCTGCTTCCTGGGTGTGGTCTATTGAGGTTGTCTTGTTTCTTCTTTTTTGGGGTTCCTTGGTTTCACAAGGCTATTTTGATTCTTGTAATTTTATTTTGTATGTGTCTATTATAATCATGGTCATCATTACCCAAAAAAAGTTTACTAATACATTATATCTATTGTTCATACAGCCTTGTGGTGATAGGAGGAGAATGCAGGTGGCTCTGTACCTTGTCAAACAGCCCACAAATTACATAAGGCACAAAGTCCTCAAGAAAGCAATTGCAAATGCGCCGAGGTTTAAAGCTTAGACACTTGAATACGAAGAAGCAAGCAATAAGAAGGCAAAACAAGGGATTAAGAGATACCTAGTGTGCTCTAGATTTTCATCATTCATTTCGTTTTATCCTAAATTTTGAACTTGTTTATGGTATTGTTTGGAGACAGTTCATTGCATTGGCAGATTGACAATTTTTGAAATTACATTTTCACTTGTTGCGGATTTATGTGATAGTGATACATTGCATTTGTGAGGTGAATGTTAGATTTATACAACCCACATGTCTATTCAGTTCAGACTTTCTTCTCTCTTATTTTCCTCTGCCAAGGCAGATGCATGAGCTGCTTGGTCACGTTTTCGGAGGATTGTAGAAGCCACAGCAGCATTTGTCATTTGTGCATATTCTTCCTCATATTCCTTTGTCTCCAACAGTAGAAGTCGCATGTCCTCCTGCCTTGTAATGAGATAGATGACACCACAGTTCATATGCTTAAGCTAGTTGTACTCTTATGTTATGTTGTTCTAAAGAATAAAGCAATCACCTTTCACAGTTCTAGTATTGATCTCTCTAAGCATTAAGTTGCTGATTAATAAGCAAAACACTCAAATAGCTTCATTCCAGAGTATCTCTAGTCTCTAATTGATGACCAAGCTAGCTATATGTGGTTGATAATGTCCTCTACCCAATAAAGCTCACGCAGCTATATCACAATTCACAACCCAAGGAACCATAGTCTAAGTAAGGTACAGAGAAAATTACAGTCTGCAAGATTGATCAACACTCGAACACATAACTCTGCAATATCTCCTAACCAGAAACAAGCTTGATTACGATGATGACGATGTTGAGGATGATAAGCGACAATCTCATGAACTGGCAAGCATGAATGAGTCCAATTATCTGGCCCTTGAGTGAACTTCTTCTCCCAGCTTGAAGCTCTGCAAGCGTCCATCCCCTTGGGGCAAGAAATATGTCCTCGTTCAGAATCGCCATCGCGTTTGCCAGTAGCAGCAATCCTTCCATGAATGTCCAAAATCCCATCTTCTTTTCCCTCTTATTCTTCCTGCACCTCATAAGAAGAATGATACAATATCAATAACACAAAGCTGAATGAGACCCACTATCAATTACCACTGGACTCACCAATCGGCTATATGAAATAATGATTACTCAAGCAATTAGAACACAAGACTGCTCCAGTTCGATAAGATCAACAGCATAGCAAATCAACACTCAACGCATCGCCACAAACTAAAATGGTTTCGGTAAATTCACTCGGGTTCGGGCTCGATTGCATTGGGCATGTACCCAGAAAGCTAAATAGATTATCTAACTGATTAGCCGCCGGCGGAGGGACGATTCTCCGATTGGGAATGATTCAAAAGAAGCAGCGGTTTTCACTTGAATGGAGCTGGGGGGAAACCCTTTTTGAGAGAGAGGGTCAGAGAAATTCTCACCGGAAAACAAGAAGGAATCGGCTCAGACGATATAGCTCCGATGGCATAAAAAACGACGACGATATCTTCTTTTCTCGTCCCTAATACCGGCGAATCCAGAACGATCAAAAGCTTCTGCATCACCATCTTCGTTTCAATTTCATTGCCGCACCCATTTCCTCTCCAGTGCGTGATCTCGAACGTCGACGACAGCGCGACTATGTCCCCGTTCAATTCGTTCAAATCCCTAACTTTAAACGAGAGGCTCGCGCTGTATCCTCCGAATTCCGCCCAGGCGCTGATTTCCCCCAACCTCTTGGCGTGCCTCCCGTCGATTACACCCGATTGGACAGCCAGCTCGAAGAAGAAGTAGTGGATTCCTTCGCCGCCGTAGGAGAGGATGAAGAGGATCACTTCCTGTTGGGAGTGGAAGTGGGAGGAGCGGGAGCCACGACGGAGAAAATTCAGGATGGAAATGCCTTCCAGCCGAGGCCGACGCTAGACTCGAAGCTCTTGAGGCGGTTGGGTAGAATTAGGGTTTCGGGGAGGATCGTGGAGGAGAGGATGATCTGGGCGGAATCAATATGAAGGTGGAGGGACAGTCGGGACGAAGAAGGAAGAGGAAGAAGAAGAAGAAGAAGAAGAAGAGGGAAGTAGGGATGGTCTGTGGAGGGTCTCCTTTAGTTCTCTAGGGACGTGGGTTTGGTTGGGTATTGGGGTTGGATAGTTGAATCAAAAGATCAATCCAAAAAATCACTTCACCCACCCAAACCAATTAATTAGACTAAATTGCAAACATTTATATCTTGTAAGAGGGTTTTGGTAATTATTGTTATAATTAATAAGTGATTTAACGACGAAAAATCAAGAGCCGTTGAGACCACACGTACGGTGAAAGATCACCCTGGGTATAGCATACCTCGGATTTTACCAGGGGTACCGTAGAAGGCACATATATATATATATATATATTATTTTTTGATGAAAATTTGAAAGTAAGGTCTTTTTCAACCTATGATAATTGCTAATTAAGAGACTATGGCCGGATATGTGGTCACATATTAGTCTGTGATAGTGAGAACATTAATTTCGGGATGATTAGATATTAGTATGAGACGGTGAGATATTAGTGTGGGTAGTTAGGATATTTGTAATGGAGAACGGATATTAGTGCGACAGTTGGATATTAGTTTGAGTGGTTTGGATATTTGTTTTGTGGAGATGTGTTTTCGACGAGCAAATAATATTCCAGAATAAAAAACTTGAATTCTTAATAAAATGAGCCGTTTGATAGACAAATCGTGATAAAACTAGTATTTAATGTCATTACAACTTGGCAATCCAAGAATTTCAAATCCGAAAAAGCACAACCATATAAGAAATGAGAAAGCAATAGTTCAACAGTTGTCTTGCTGACGCTTGATAATTTTTTTGAGCGTGTCGTCCCGAGCCTTCCACATTTGGATCATGCTCTCAACCATTGACTCCATTGCCGCAAGCTACATATGTTGTGAAATATTTAGTTTACTTTATGAAACCATGTCACTTAAGAAGCAAAGACAACATCTATGTACCAGATTTAGGTCAAGGTTGTCAAAATCTTTGTTTTCCCAGCATGATGCGTCTGGATTGAGCCAGTGATGTGTCTCCGCCTCCCCTTTTCTTGGAGGAGCTGGCATCGAACACCTTTTGGATTTTGTCATCTTGCACAATTCCTGAAAATAGCTAATATCATTGAACAAATATTCATACAGGGTATAAGAATATCCAAACCTAGCATACAAATATCTATGCATCACATAACCAATATCCTGAAAATCAACCACCATACAATATCCACATTAAACTAAATGGTAACCCATGCCAGCTAAACAATTTTCCAGGTTAAAAAAGAATCAAATTAACGAGCAAAATCGAGAAACAATTCCTGAAAAGAACTAATATCATTGAACTAATATCCATACAGGGCATAAAAATATCCAGACCTAGCATACAAATATCTATGCATCACATAACCTATATCCGGACAATCAACCACCAAACAATATCCACATTAAACTAAATGGTATCCCATGCCAGCTAAACAATTTTCCAGGTAAAAAATATCAAATTAACGAGCAAAATCCAGAAACGCCAAACAATATCGACATAAAAAAACGAATATCCCAAATCAAAAGAAATCCAAATCGAAAGAAATTCCAGCCACAAAAAAATCTCAGATCCCCCAAATCGAAAGAAATCCAAATCCCCCAAATCAAAAGAATCCCAGATCCCCCAAATCAAATCTCAATTCCCTCGACAAGAATCCCAGATCCCTAACAATGAATCTCAGATCCAAAAAACGAAGCAAAAAAAAAAAACTCAGATCCAGTCGAATCTATGAAACCCTAAATCAAATATATGTAATCCAGCCATAGAAAATCCCAGATCCCCCAAATCGAAAGAAATCCAAATCCCCCAAATCAAAAGAATCCCAGATCCCCCAAATCGAATCTCAAATCCCCCGACAAGAATCCCAGATCCCTAACAATGAATCTCAGATCCAAAAAACGAAGCAAAAAAAAAAACTCAGATCCAGTCGAATCTATGAAACCCTAAATCAAATATATGTAATCCAGCCACAGAAAATCCCAGATCCCCCAAATCGAATCTCAAATTCCCCGACAAGAATTCCAGATCCCTAACAATGAATCTCAGATCCAAAACACCTACCTCAAAGATCCGCCTTCACCGTCAATGAATCAGGAGAAAGGAAGATGCTTACCTCAAAAACTTTCATCTCTTCGCAGCTGGTGTAGTCGTCTTCCTCGCGCTACTGGCGTCGATTTCTTCCTTCTTGCTCGGCCAACTTCGTCTTCCTTCAAGCACCGCTACCGGCATTGCCAAGCACCGTCGTCTTCTTCCTGCCAGTAGCCCTCGTCGCCGGCGTCGTTTTCTCACACCTGTCGTTGTCGAGAGGTATTTTGAATTATTTGAGAGAGAGAGAGAGAGGAAGAAGAACAGAAGAGAGCAGTCGATAGTTTTGGAGAGTGGGAGAGAAAGGAAAATGAAATGATGGAGAGAGAGAAGAAAATTAAACATAAATGAAAAGGTTGGGTTTTTTTGAATTGTTAAAAAAAAAGGAAGAGGCTTGGTTCAGCCGAGCCACAAGCTGCTCTTCTCCCCCTCCACCGTCCGATTGCGGCTCGCCTACGTGGCCTCAAATCCGACCGTGTTAGTATATACTAACAACTTATGTTGTTAGTAGAATAACCATATTGTACCCATTGGGCGAGTTTACCTAATCCTAAACCCAACCCGACCCGGTGAATAGTTGATAGACCGTTAATTACACATGTTTTTACCCCTGTTCTTACACCGTTTGAGGTGTTGATTCTCGTGTTTTAGGCCGATTTCACGCTAGGTTGTGCTTGTTTGTGATATTTCAGGTCCTAGTACGTGCATGGAGGCTTGGGAGCGAGTTTGGGGTCGATTGGACAAAGATCGGACGCGTGGCGAGGTGCTAAGGAAGCCGCACGGGCATTCCTGGACATCACACGGCCGTGCAACTCACATTTGTGGTCGTGTGATTTTCGTCGAGAACAAACACGGGCAGGATGGGAATCCGACACGGCCGTGCGACCCTGGCCGTGTGGGAAGCCTAAGATCGAACTAATTGATACGCCGCGTTTTGACTCACACGGGCAGTAGATCTAGACCCCGCGTTTTGACTCACACGGGCAGTAAGATCGAACTAATCACTCGACTTAGTTGGTTAGATAATAAATAATCACGGAGTAAGCAGTAGATCTAGACCCCGGGTTGATAATAGAACCTGCCTGTTACTGCATTCCGGGACTGCGATTACACTTGGTCGCAGTTTGGTGTTGTGTTTTGGCGTGTCAAGTTTTTGGCGCCGTTGCCGGGGAACCCTCTAGGTTATTGGGGAAACGTGAGAATTTGTTACTCTAGCTTTTTATTTATTGCATTTTATCTCTTCCACCTGTGTGCCTTCACGGGTTGCTTCTGCTGATTGTGTGCAGGTAGTGCATGACCCGTACCCAGTCGGGAGATCTACTACCGTTAGACCAGGAGCTTGAACTAACCTGCAGGAACTTCAAGCGGGCTCTAAAGGCGCGATTGGCTGCGGAGGAGGCGCTAGCACAGCTACAGATCACTGAAGAAGAGGAGATGGCTGATCCACAGGACCATGATGTGGTCAATCTTGGGGAGCAGACCATGGGTCATTACTGGACCGCCAGGGCTGCAGACATGAGGTCACCCATTCAACACCCTCATGTCCCAGCCAACAACTTTGAGGTGAGCACCTCAGTAATCACCATGCTGCGCGGTTCAGTGGTGTTCCGTGGCAAAGAGGGGGAGTGCCCCCGATCACATCTCAGGCGATTCCAAGAGCTCATTGATGGAATCAAGATCAATGGGGTACCAGCAGATGCCATCCAGCTGAGGTACTTCCCATTTACTCTGGAGGAGCAAGCCAAGGAGTGGCTAGACACTCGACCTCCGGGCTCTATCACCACGTTCGCCGACCTGGCGGACAAGTTCCTCACTCGCTACCATCCTCCATCCAAGACAGCTGACCTGTAGAAGCAAATTACCCATTTT